ATTTTACACTCTTTATTGACCTTCTGCTGCTCCGCCCACGTTCTTTGGTCCAGTTTTCACACCTTTGAAGAAAGCCTCTCAGTCTTTGGCAGACGAACAAAATTGTGAAGATGAATTAAATTTCAGAACGCAACAATGGATTGTTATTAAAAACCCTACATCCATCACAGCACAGTAACAGAATTACTTGTGATTTGATTGAAGACAAAAACACTGAAATTAGCGGGGGGGTGGGGTTCGCCTGAGGCCCCCACTGGGATCCAGAGGCAATGTTCCTGAGAGCTCTTAAGAGTCTATTTCAGGACTTTCTGGGGCATCTGGATGTGAGGTTTTGCTGGTTTTTGGATGTTATGTGATAACTGACAATAAAAAGATGGCACAGATTGTTATTTTAGCAGAGTGGCTGAGACAACTCATATTACAGACACAGTTGAATTTACAGAATGAATTTAGATGGAGGATACTGTCTGTGCAGGTGATGATGGTTTAATGTGTGAATGTTCATGAAGCATTCATACTATTGCAATCTATTGGGATCTACTGTGATCTATTGGGATACATTATTCTTCTGTACATTTTTGGCGCAATTCTCTTCCAGCAGTTTTCAAGTTATTTCCACAAATCATATATCAAAATGTTCTTTTCAGGATAATCCTGCTGTCTTTTACTATTGGTGCAAGTTTAGCTTGTTGAAATATTTAGCCTTTTCTGCCACTTTTTTCCCTCATAGAAAATGAATTGAGCTCTTTTTACATCCTTCGTATCTTTTGATCCGTTTACAACCTTTTACTGCTCCGTGCACATTTTGTTCTGGTTCAACTTCGTTGTGCAAAACTATTTTTTTCAGCTACTTTCAGCTAATTTCAGCTGTTTTTTTTTTTTTTTTTGCTCCTTTCAGATTCTTTCTGCAAGTTTTTTTCTACTATTCCAGCTATTATTTAGCTTTTTTATGCCAATTTAAGCATTTTCAGCTACTGGTAATTCCACATATTTTTTGCACTTATTTCAACTTTTTTTCACCCTAATTCAGCAAAAAACGTGCTCTTGCTACGTCCTTGTAAATTCAGCTTCTTTAGCTACTTTTCAGCTGTATTTTTGGCAATTTCAGCATTTTTTCCAGATAATATCCATTTTTTGTGCTCATTTTTGCTTCTTTCAGCCTAACTGAGCATACTTGTTTTATTCTGCTTTCTTGTGCTAATTCATGCTTGTTCTACTTTTTCAGCTACCCATTTTGGTTTTGTAGCTAATTTCAGCTGTTTTTAGATAAATTAAAGTTTTTCATAGTAATCCTTGCTACTTTCAGCTTAATTAACTTCTTTCTGTTAATTTCAGTTTGTTATGCTCCTTTCAGCTTATTTATGCTAATTTCAGTTACTATTTAGCTGTTTTATGCTAAATTTAGCATTTTCAGTTAATCCTACATTCTTGGAGCTGATTTCAGCTCCTTCCGCTTCCTTCAAGTAGTTTAAGCTTTTTTTTTTTTTTTTTTTGCCTTTTCAGCTACTTTCAGGCACTTTTTGATAATTTATGCTGTTTTAGCCAATTCCCGAATTCTTGTGTTAATTTCTGCTTATTTAAATCTAATTCAGCAAA